GCGTGCTGCTGAGCCGAAAGTGTCCGCCAAGGTGGGCACGCTGTTGACATGGCAATTCCATACTTTTGCTTGTCAGTGAGTACTGAGTATTAGTTAGTAACTTAGACTTAGTAACAGCTAGCACCTGCTAACTAGTCACTAGTCCGACCTCTGGCTTTGGCAGCTTCTGTGATGTTGCTTTCCGCTCTTGACAGTGAGTACGTGTCTGATGCACCGCTCCAGTGTGGCATGCTTTACTCTTTGCAGGAGCGGAAGGATTTGGCGAGGTTGAGGGAGGAGGATGCCGACAACGTTTCGATGAGATCCTCAACCCGGCAGTCCAAAAAATCCCGTGGCCAGAGGTATGTCTGTTGCTTCACCTGTGGTGCTTCCGCTAAGGAGGACATTTCTCTTTGTGCCGGGTGGGCTTCACATGCATGTGCAAAATATCGCCTTACCATTTTTGTATCCCTTCATGGGTGGTTAAGCCGGTTAAGCAATCAAGCTACCTGCTTGAGCTGAGAGTGCAATGTTCACATGATTAGTGTTGGCATCATTGAGTAACAGCAGCTGGTATCCACTGGTAGGGCAATAAGACATGACAGTATGCCAGTATGCATCATTACAATTACAAAGTCATTACGATGCTCATAGGCCCTGCAGGCTAAAGTGGGCTACAGTGCTTCATAGTTTCCAAGCTTATGAACCATCAATGTGTTTGGGCAGGATGATGTGACCATGGCCTCAAATGATGCGCTTGGTAATGTCATCAAGGATGGCTGCTTCGTTTGTGTTGCTGTCTTTTCCCTGCTCTACCCGGGGGAGACTTGGGCAAGCTGCTGCTCAAGGCTTCAGTTGCAAATGGAGTATTTCCAGCAAGTGCTAGCTAGTTGCTAGTTACTGCTAGTTGCTGCCAGCCACTTCTAGTTCTAAAGCGCCTCGCTTCTCAGATATTGAGCCCATGACCCATGAAGTATCCATGTCCGTTGTGAAATCAACCGCCTCAAAAGGTGGGAGCGAGATCCCAAGTTCAAAGAGCAATTCCAGTTTGCGCGTCGGGTGCGGCTGGGTGAAGAGGATGCTGAAATAGAGCGTCCTTCCAATATCATGGACTTCGATCGGCGGGGAACCATGGTGTTTGTTGATCTTGGCCTCCTGACCGAAGGAGAACTATGGGACTTGCTTGAGCTTCCCAAGGCCATTCATTGGATTTTTCACATGGTATAGGGGTAAAGAAATAATTCATAATTCTAAACTAGGCCCTCAGCTTGTGCAGATTGCTAGTTCCTTCTTGAGACTTGAGACCCAGTCTCAGGCCCCCATGCCAAAGCAGATTGAGAGCTTTATGCTGCCTAATCATCTAGGCCAGCAGAGCAAGCATTATTTGGCTGGCCTGCAAGGCCTACCGTGTGATGTGATACATTCCATGCGGCGGATCAGATATTTCACATCGGCCGGAGTGAGTCATGAAGAGGTTCTGCTCATGGCATCCCGCCAGCTCATTGAGGAACAGGGGGGCCGCCTTTTCAAGTTCCACACAGGCTTGCAACTGCAGAACAACCCGCCGGGCATGCAGTCACCTGATGGCTCACTGAGGGCCTTCATGTCGACTGAGGACAGCTTTCAAACTAAATTATGCATATTCCCGGTTCTGGAGTGTTGTAACTCTAGCTCTAGCTCAAGCTCTAATATTATTTGCCCATGTCATGGCTGCCCTCAACTGGACCTTCAATTTTGGAAAATACTCAACTATTGTATGCTTTCGTGAGTTTAATGCTTTAGCGGCTTTATTGTTCCTTTACCTGTGTGTTAATGAATCCCACTCTGCAGTTATTAGCCTTGTGATTGTCTGTTACATTCTTGCGGCCCAGTGCAATGGTACAACTTATCTCATCATAATTTTCTTTAATCATTTGTTGCCAGTGATGTTAGTGCCGCTAGTTCCGCTTTGTAGGCCCTATTGAATTGTAGGCATTGTAGGCCGTTATTCCATTGTCAGTGGGTGTGCGTTTGGTCCACCTGCCTGATGTGCCTGTCGCCCCAACACATTGCCTGGTGAATCATCGCTTGGAAGATGAATTTGGGAGAAACCCCCTGAACAACGTTTATGTTTCAGATTCAGATTGAAAACCTATATTTAGTTACATTCTCATTATTGAATTTCCGGTTTACCTAGACTCGACCTAGACCTAGAGTCAGACTGCTCAAGGACATGAAGACCAAGATCATGGCTTTGGCAGCCAAAAAGGGAGAGAACCTTCTTCAGAAGGAGAAGAGGGAGCCATCCGACCATGAGTCGGAGCCAGGAGCCAAGAAGGTTGCTCTTGCAGGCTCCAGTCGCCTCAACAGCGTTCCGGTGCAGAAATCCAAGGCAAAACCTAGCAAGAAAAAAGGGCAGCCAAAGGAGGATGTCTCCGAGGAAGAAGCCGTGGTTGAGGGAACCCCGCTGCCTCCTGAGCTGCAGTTGGTGGCTGATGAGCTCAAGTCGGTGCCGAAATGCTTCTTCAACCTTTCCATCCCCCGTATCATCGGGGGGGAAAAGTTGATGCGCAGTGTGGAGGCCGCCAGGGCCCCAGCTTTCTAATGACTCATGCTGGTCATCATATTTTTCATGATGACCAACATTTTACAGACAAGGGGCACATATTGTGTACCATACTAGTTGTTATCATTTCCTGGTGGCATTTACGGAATCCTGCTTCACACCCAACTTGAGTATCCAGAGTCCAGAGCATTACTCACCCAAAAATTTGAAATCATCTTCATTTCAAATATTGTGATGTTCGGGTGGTAGGAACAGCAGCGGCAGTAGCTGTACTGTAGCAAGATACTCAGTCTTGAGAATTTGCTGATGGCTCAGCTTAGTAGCTACACACCCTGTTCCCTTATAGGCCAATACACATCAATAGAACCGGCCAAGTCCTCGCTAGCAGCACCCAGCATTTTTTCTTCAGCTGGAGACTTGAACCTCATGATCTCCTTTAGATTGATTCTAGATTCTAGATTTTGGATTGCAGATTGTAGAGTCAGAAGAGTTCGGGCTTGAAGGGTATGACAAAGCAAAAAAAGAAGCCTCTCAGGCTGTTTACAACTTTAATACTATAAGACTCATGACTTATTGCGTTTCAAAAGCAGTATTTGTTTGGTCATGTCTTTGAATCTAGATACCCAGCTTGTACGAAGGTATTGCAAGTATTGCGTAGTAGACTTCATGTGATTGCACTCCTGTATTCAATTAATAATTAATGAAGCTCTTCATGTTTATAGTCTATTGAGTTCGAGTACGGAAAGTCACTCGGTTTTTTGGTCTCTGTGCAGTAAACCCTAAACCCTCAACCCTAGGGCTTTAGGGTAGGCGGACCCCTTTTGGAGCATCCAAAGGCCATGCCATGGAATGAAGCAAGCTCCTGGTCTTGAACACTTAGTAGTGATGATCGTGAAGATATTGTGAATTTTTTTCCCACCTTCAAACTCGGTAGAAGTGCGCAGTGGATTGGCGCTATCCAAGTCTTAGTTAGCCAGTAGGCCCAGTAGGCGATGCTGTCTCTTCCAATCCTTCCTAACCCTGTTTGCAATGATGTAATGTAATGTCATGCAATTTCATTGTAGTGTGTGTTCCAAGCATCCTCATGCCGCAGAGGGGCCTTTTCTTTGCCATGTGACTTAGCCATAGCCGCAGCCTGTGTACTATCTCCAAACAGAAGTCAGCATGAATGGGTGACCTATGATTATGACAATGTGCCATCATAGCCAAAGAAAAGATCCTTGTCAGCATGTATGTAGGAATGTAGCATGGCATACCCGCGTACCAATGAACAGAAGGAGGTGACTTTCGGAAAGGGCAACTATGCCACAACCTGAGTGAGATGACCAATGGTTTATGCCTCCAGCCATCAATTGCTTGTGTGGAGCTGCAATCTGCCTTGAACCAGGAGGAAGGATTGGTTGACAGAATGTCATGCTGTGCCGCAATGCAACAAGATATCAAGTAAGCCGAAATGTGTAGGAGTGCAAGATGTTGAGTTTGTAAGCAACTAAATTCTAAATATTGGTTGCAGGATTCCAATGCTGTTACCAGGGTTCAGTCTCTGTTTTGAAATGACCGGAGAAGGTGCGTGAGTGCAGTTGGGCACACAGGTAAACTTACGAGGTAAACATGTCAACACGCTTGACAAGACCATGGCGCACGAAGTTACTGGTAACTAGTAGCTAGCAGCAGCTAGGCTGCAACGGCCTCTTCCGAACGCATTGGCCTCTGACAAATATCAATTGAAGGCCAGGCAGTTTCCGTACTACCTCTATCAGGATCTACTGTGCCTGCAAATGCTTTTGGTAATCAATTTAACCGCAGGATTCAACCACAGGCAAGTTCGTACGCGCGTGTTTGTTTTTTTCATGTGTTCGCTCAATATTGAGGAGTGCGGATAAGGCATTGGCGCTGTTGCTCAAGCTTGATGTCGCGTTCTGCTAGTTGGCTTAGGCATTGATCATTGCTTTGTTATACTACATGAACCGTGAAAACTGTTTTGATGTACATGGTTTTGTGCCGCGAAAGCTGCTGAAATAGAACCATGTAATCGAAATTTGCAAAGCACTTCCGTGAATGGCGCGGAATCTCTGTTTTGCGTTCTTGCTTGGCGCAAGTGTATTGATGCAGCGTCAGAAGTTTCCAAGATGCTTCAGCTTGGGTTGTGTAATTTTGAGGTTGTTGAATAATGAAAGTCCATTACCTCCAACCAGATTCTAGAGTACAGAGTCTAGAGACTAGGAGTTGTCTCATGAGGGCATGCCTTGGTGTGTCACAGCCGTGGCGGTTGTGTTAAGATTTTCTGATGAGATTGCCAATTCGGAGCAGGAGCCTTTGTGATTTCCGAAAGCGGTCATTGAACTTGATCGCAATCATCACCACAGAGTAGCAAAGGGATGGGTGTCTTCTGCTTCGGTTCTTTCGTTATGAAAGGGCTTCTGCATGCAGCCTTGTTTTCAAACACTCTTGCGTCTGAACACACTTTCTTTCCGAGGCCAGAACGGTTTGCGACAAACTCAAAGCCGACGGCAAGTATGTGCACAAGTTGTTGGGGAAGCACATCGAGTTGTGCGAGATGGCCAACGGCTTGCACCTCAACCATGACACCTTGGGCAGGCGTGACCTTCGCACAACTGTTTTCACCCTCCTGGACAACAATGTGGTCCTGCCGATGCACATCCGTCTGTGCGTCACACGGAGGTGCGTGAGCTTCTACTGCCAGGACCTCCTGGACAGCCTGTCCGCAAAGGACGCAAAGGCTGTAAAGGAGGCAACCGTCAAGAAGGAAAAAACGCTTGAGCGCTTGGTGTCAGCTTTGGCAGTGTGGAAATACTACCAGCCGGACGAAGAGGCTGAGCTGGAGTCAGCTGCTGTGCTCCAGGCCGAGGACAACCCTTTGCCTAGCTGGTCCTTCGACGCTTGCAGCTTTGCAGCCCTTGCAGCTGAGCTTCAAGAGGAGGTGAGCAAGTTGTCAGACGGTGCAGAGGAGGATTCCGCAGCCTCGGCTGCTCGAGAGGACCACCTCAATGAGGCCCAAATGGGATTTTTTTAAGTTGTAGTGAAGTGAGAGGTAATGTAATAATGTAATGATTACCTGACTACCGGGTAATTCGCAATGATGTTTCATGATTGCACTGGTGCAAATTTTGGCAGTCTCCACTCAGTTCAATTTCCTGAAGCGTGTTTTTTTCGCTCACCCATCAGAGAATCATGATTAGAGTTCAGCTGCGTGGCATAGAGAATGCCCTGTCAATTTGGAGTGCGGGGTTTTGTTTCTTGTTCAATAAAAAGTCTGCCAGCTGTAGCAGCAGCAATTAGATAATTAGAATCACTGGAGTCACTAAAGCCGCTTTCAGTTGCAGCCGGGGCGGAGACTAGGACTAAGATCACCTACCCTTTAAGCCATGACACGAGCAACCAGAGAAAAGCAAAACTATCACCGCATCCTTTTTTTGCATAAGCCTGCTCCTGTAAGTCTTGACTCATTTGCGTGCGATTGTGATTGTGTGTTGCTGTGAGCAAGGACCTGTGTCTTGCCATGACCAACAGCCTCAACAATGACTTCTTCATGATGTTGCTTGAGGACAAGAAGGACAAGATCGATGAGCGAATGTCCCTCTTGCGCGACATCTGTGAGCGGTACCTTGCGCTATACCAGGCAGATGAGGTTGATGTTATTGGCAAGCAGCTGCTCCCGGGAGCTTTCAAGGCAGCATCTACAATCAAAGAGGTGATGAGTGCCTTGCTTGTCATGTTGAACCCAATGCCGGGGTATCTCAACACTGACATGGGAGCCATCAGCGCAGTTCTGAAGGCAAAGGAGGAGAACAAATTTGCTTCCTGTGTGAAGTTGTTCTTGAAGTCTGCTCACTGGCAAGCAAAGCTAGATGATTGCCTTCAGAAGGGTCCTGTGACAATGAAGATTGCCCCTGAGCTTGCCCACCTGACCGAAAAGCTCGCGATGGAAAATGAGGCAAGCAAACCCAAGGGTGACGAAGATGACGAGGCTTCTCAGCCAGAGCAGCGGAACGAAGTGGTCAGCGCTGACCTGAATAATGCTATTGACAAGCTGGAGGAGTTCCAGAAATCCCTTAGGAAGGGAGCCACAGGCGCTTTGGAGAAGGAGATGATTGAGCGGCTCATGGCCATTGCAGAGTGGACGACTGGGCAGACTGAGGTGAAGTCCCTGCCTGATTTTCATGTCCCGGCCTTGAGCAAGGGCTTGCAGCTTCTGTCCAAGGGACACAAGTCTTTGCCGGAGTTTCTGAAAAAGCTGGAGGCCTGGAAGGGCAACATGGCCCAGGGCCTCAGCAAGCAGAAGATCATCAGCTATGCGCAGGTTGTCTCCCAGGACGGCACGCCGGTGGATTGGGAAATTGTGAAGCAGTTGATGGACGGCTCAAATGATGCCAGAGCTGACCCTGAGATTGTGGATGCCTTCCGCAAGCTGTCAGGGATCCTCTTCCGGAGTCTTGCGGCGCAGGCATTGGTAGAGGAAGATGCTAGCCGCTACTCATATTTGGGTGTTTGCTTCCCTAATCCCAAGGCAGCCTAAGTCTTCAGTCCTTGCCTAGTGGCCTAGTGCCTAGTCAAGTCTAGTCTAGTCTTAATCTTGTTTCAAGCTGCTGGCTACTGAGCTCTGCATTTGTGAAACTGGAATCCTGAAGGTAGCAATGAGGGAGTGCATCGAGTTCCTTGTTAGTAACAGTGGCATGTTGCAGATTCCCAGAAGATGCTACTAGCTGCTAGCTACTAGTAAAAACTAGGTCTAGTCTAGGTCCAGGTCTAGGTCCAGTGTCCAGTTACTAGGTCCTGCTTTTAGTTTCAGGTCCCAGGTCGCCACTAACCCCACATAAGTGTGCTGGCATTACCGGGCTAGTAAAGCCAAATGGGTCACCCAATGTAGTTTTGAAATGTTAGTCGCTTCTTGATCTGTGACCAGGTGGAGGCCAATGCCTGCGCATTGAACATGCGCAACATTGACATTGCGGATGCTTG